TGTGTGTGTGTGTGTGTGTGTGTGTGTGTGTGTGTACAAGTCCCTGCAGTTTTCCTGGCAAGATTTCAGAAGTGGTTTGCCATTGCATCCTTCCTAGGGCTGAGAGAAAGTGACTGGCCCAGGGTCACCCAGCTGGCTTTGAGCCTAAGGTGGGACTAGAACTCACCCTCTCCTGGTTTCTAGCCTGGTGCCTTCACTGTTACACTAAACTGGCTCTCTTAATTATCTTTATTCATGAGTAAATCAGCATAACGGGAGGACATCTGACATACACCTGAAAGCCTTCTTTAGACACAGAGAGGATATTGCATAGCAAACAACATGGGACTTGCTATTGTTACGAAGACTGGCTGCTTGTACAACAGTTTGACCTTGCTCACATATGAGGCCCAACGAATGTTACGTTGCAAAGCAAACAATTTCTATTTAGAGTTGCCAACTATTACAGCCTTCCAAGTCCTGTACAGTTTAGAAAGGCGATTGTGCGTACTTTCTAGCATGATGACATAAGCAACCTGAAGAATTTGAATAACATGAGCAACAACAAGAATTTACATTCCCTCTCTATGAAATCCCCTTCATGGATCACTGCCTTGTCGTGGCGAAGGGGCTTGCGTAACTCAGTGAAGTGCGTAACTCAGGCTCTACAGCAGTGTTGTCCAAACTTGGCCACTTTAAGATGAGTGGACTTCAACGAAGTGCGTAACTCAGGCTCTACAGCAGTGTTGTCCAAACTTGGCCACTTTAAGATGAGTGGACTTCACCTCCCAGAATCCCCCAGCCAGCCATGCTGGCTGGGGAATTCTGGGAGTTGAAGTCCACTCATCTTAAAGGGCCAAGGACAACACTGCTCTACAGCCATCTTCAACTCAGTGGTGCACCAGATTCCATTAGGGCATCAGGGCATTTTCCTCATCAGAATGACAGACTGGCTGCAGTCCCACCAAAGCCACACATACAGGTAGTCCTCATTCAGCAATCACAATTGGAACTGGCAACTGGGTTGTTAAGCGAGGCGGTTGCTAAGTGAAACCACAACTGTGCTTATGATCTTCAGCTTTCCTTTGCTTTATAGACCTGCAAAGATCATAAATGCAAGCATTGGTCGCAAAGTTACTTTTTCATCACTGTCATAATTGTGAACAGTTGCTAAATGAGGCAGTTGCTAAACGAGAACTACCTGTAGTAAGAAATTTTTTTCCCCATCAACCTAGTACGGAGTAGAGGGAAAAAAGAGACCCTTAGGTGTAGTATTTCCTGATCCAGCACCACCTCATGGCTTTGTCTTAGGACTAAGGTTCATCGTCAAGTTACTACAGAGCCCTTCTATTCACAGGAGGCCAAGTACATACAACAGCCAATGAACCTAAACTAACAATAAGCCCTTACTCCCCCAGAACTGATAGTCAATAGGTATTACACAAATTAGGTTTATTAGAGGCAGTTATCTAACAGTTTGGCATAGTGGTGAAGGTGCTGGCTTAGAAACCAGGAGTCTGTGAGTTCTTGGCCTTCCTTAGTCATGAAAGCCAGCTGGGTGACTTTGGGCCAATCGCTCTCTCTCAGCCCAACCCACCTCACAGAGCTGTTGTCAGGATCTACGCAAATCAGAATCTTCAATTATTTTAATGTGCTATTATTACTAACCATTCCTTTG